TACTCATAAACAAATACATTTTGGGAAAATATTATTCTTTTAAATTGGTTTATCCAAATATGCAATAAAATTTGAGGCATTCCGTTTGAAAAATCACAACTTTGATATGTAGGTTGAAATTGGGACACCCTGTATAATGGCCAATATTTTAGAAATGTGCCCTCAAATGTGATGTATACCATGCCATTAATACATTTTTCCGAAATGTATTTGCTTATGAGTAACATTCCGTCCACAAATGGATAGGCCACCCTGTATAGTGTGCTAATACAAAAGTGTGAAAGGTCCTGCAACATGCTGAGACTACGCAAAGCCATCATTTCAATTTTAAGATGGCACCGATCAAAATCAGTAAAGCCCAGCACCGCCTGGAAGCCAGATAAGTAAAACGTATTGTCAAAGAAGTGTCAATTGCACTTGAAGAAGGTCACCGTTGGGGATGAAACGTCGGCGTCGTACAATAAAGGGGAATTTTAAACATATGCGGTTTCATTCAGCCAGGCAAACATGGGGGATTATTAAGATGGAAAGCATAGGATAAGTTTCAGACGTTGCATTAAAAGCTATTAGGTACACGAATTCCAGCGAAACATCATTATTTTCAGCACTTTCAAATTTAAATAGATATGCACTATTCCAATCAAAGTTAGTCCCAAGACTCGCGAAATACTTTTCAACTATCTTAAGCCTTATAGAGACCCGCTGAACGGATTAAAGCGTCAAAGTGTACAATCACTGGCTTGCAAATCTGCCCAGTCATCGTTGTGAAACCAGACTCGTTATTGTCTCTTAACTGGCAGAGGGAAGATGAAAAATTGCCTTTGTGTCATTCATATCGGTTATGAGTTATGACATTTATTGTGACGCAATCCAAGGAAAAGTAATTTAGCAAATTACTGTTAGGCGTGGAAGAATGTCGTTTGATTATCGTGGTTGCCCTATTTGATACTTGAGCATTTGTGATCAGTTCGCAATGAGTCTAATGATTCCTTGCGCAGAGGTTAATGGCATGAGATCATCGCATTGGCCATGGTAGGAAGGACCCTGTCGTCACGTTTTGCAGAGAAATTAATAGAACATCTACAAAGGTTATAGGATTTTTCGGATGATCGCATGCACAACAACAGGTATGTTCAGTAAACGCCAACCTATCCAATTAGTCTACAGCACCAGCTATCAACCAACTTTTAGGATGGACTGTTGGAGGCAAATTCAATCCTTTTCCATGCCACTGCTCCTTTATTCTCTCAAGTTGCCTTGATGCCCCTACTGATGGTTCAAGAGAAACAAACTGGATTGGTAAGGTATCTCCAATCGCTTACTAGGTGCACCACGCTGCTTCGTGGGCACACACCACGGTACCACCGTGTTAGGACAGATTTTTCGGATGAGCGCTTCGGTAGCTGCGAATATGTTTAGTAAGCAACAAGTTGAGAGATAGGAGCTGACCTGACCAATCCGGTTTATATCACTTGAACGTCTCCAGATGGGGTATCAAGGCAACTTGAGAGAACAAAGGAGCAGTGGCGCGGGTAGGATTGAATTTACTTCTAACGGTCAATCCTGGCAGCTGGTACTGTAGACTTATAGGTTAGGTCTAGGAATCCCACCACCGCCCACTTTTACAATTTCTCAAGTTGTTATTTTCTACACTACAAAGAGTGTTCTCAAAACAGGCAGCAAAGCTTCACAATGTGCTTCCTTGGACGAAATCGTCCTTTTGGTTAGCTCCCTTAATGTACATACAATTTTTGATAATTGTTTTTGGGATCTTATGAGAATTAGCAGGACTAATGAATCGTATGTTCTGAAACAGCAAATTTTGCAAAAGCCATTAAAGAAAAAATACTATTTTTAAGATGTTATAAATATACAACGAGATAAGCGATACTGGACAAAAAGATGTTGCTCAATCTTCTAGCTATCCTTATTTTTTCACGATGGATTAAATATGTCAGCTTTTTACGAAACTATAAAACAATTCATCAGCAGATCTAAGACGCGTAAAAAATGTCGTTTCCGGTTTTGCTTCGAAATCACTACTTTTCAAGATGTGTCACAAAATATCAGAAAAAGACGCGTACAAAATTTCGTTTCCGGTTTTGCTTCGGAATCATTACTTTACAAGATATGTTACAAAATATGATAAAAAGTAGCAGCAAAGGTCATGTTTTGTGTTCTGAAACACTCAGAACAGTTTCAGCTACTTCAAGAAATATCCACCTACTGGCCCTTTTAGCCGTAATCCGTCTGGCGTACTTTACGATTGTTAAAAACCTCCCTCGTTTTTAAGGTAACTGTCGAGTAAAACAGTAGTTACCACCTTTCGTGATTTTACAAATTGCTCAGAATTATGATCTCCAAGTAGCAAGATTTAAATTGAAAGGAGGCACAGCTTTTTTTTTCTATTGAATTATTAAGCACACCGGATAGATTTAAGTATTCAATAATTCAAGGGCAGATGTCACAGAAAGATGTTCATCTCAAAGCAGGGAGTTGCTTCGAAGAATTGAAGAATAGTCCAGGGGGGTCATGACCCCCCTATTCCGTCTTCGTGCTACTTAGTCCTCTCGGTTTTGCCGCCTCTTACTCCTTTTGTTAGATCATCCTCTGACCATTTTGTGAAAATGTTACAAAATTTCAATGGTGTAGCATTGTATTCACTCGTTTAATGCTACCCTCCTCCCTCCATATAAGGAAAAACATCGTGACATTCTGTTCAAGCCCCAAAGCCTCCCTATTGAGTACGCCCTTGCGAGAAGGCCGTTTTCCTGATGTGTTATCACCAGTGTACTTCATAGTTAGAGGAAGACATAATCTAATAAAAAAATGAGGCGAGTAAAATGCATATATATATATATATATATATATATATATATGCACTTTTATATATAAAATTTATATATTTATATATTAAACTGCTTTTCCCACAACTGAACAATAATCAACGCCCAGTCATACCAATGTCGCAACATTGACATCTATGTATTCCCACCCAGGCCATGAGACATTCCATCTGAAAAAAAAAGAACAGTTGACAAACAGTTATTACTTAATTTATACAGTAACAAATCAAACATTAACCTTCATTGAGTTACATAATAGCCGTGTGGCGACTTCCTCGACATATTGATGATCATTAAAAGTGCAAAGGACAGACGTAAACATTACCTCTTCTATAGGGTGATATAATAAACAGTAACATTAATATTTCTAGGACAGAAGTAGTAGAAAAAAAATCCTAACTGGGCCCATCCGCTAAAGCGGACCCCTGTTCTTATTAGCTTTGTATATTTTGAAACTCCGTTACTGCCAAGTGTAAATAGTAGCCATAGGGTAAACGTGTTCGGATAGCGCTAAAATTTTTATCACTATTCAGAGATACATGAAAGTAAGCATTTATACACGTATTTTCTTGAATAGCAAGATCTCAGATTTGACTTTGTCAAATTTCATTGGATGAACAAGTTTTTAGTTTAAGACGCGCAAACCGGATCCTTTTCAGTTGCTTTATTTTACTATTCTTTTGAAGCCCCGTTGCAAGTTCGCAAACGACAATGGGAAAGACTAATAGGAGGCAGGAATGGCTAAACCATTTAATTGATGTCTTGAATACGACGACGTAATACATTGTGGCAGGAGGAAAAAAAGAAATATACCTTTGCGATGTTTGTCGCTACTTAACTAAAAAGTGTTACATCTGTTTTGAATATATTCTCTATTCTTGCCTAGCAATAAAATCTTCGTAAATGGTTATCAATTTTTAGGAGCCAGGTCTTGATATCTGCTTCCGAATCAAGGGTATGTAAGGTTGCTGGAAAATATTTTTTTATAAAGAATTCCATCTAGACCTTCTATTGGAGATAATAATATCCGTCCAGTCTGTTCCACCAAGCTTTGACATAGCTAATCCCTCACCTGTAAGGCTTTGAGAATCGGCGTATTGCCTAGGAAGTAGAACGGTGTTTCATTCTCTTTGCAGTCTTTGTGTCTTGAGTGATAGACATCTGTTTAATCTGAAGTGTGCTGTATCACAACTAAAAGATTCAGCAACCCTGTCTGCTTCTCGGCCTTTCTGCACTCGTGTCTGCCTGACCATGCTTGTGCCAGCTCCCTTTGTTTATTTCGTCCCTAGCCGTACTAAGCTGGCATTTGCTAATTTCCAGCATCAGCTTGGGAACAATGCAAGATCCCCTAGCTGATAGCCGTGTGACTTGATCTCGTGTCTTCAGATTGAGTTTTTCTATCAACTAATGTCATCAACTGTATAGAATTCGATAGTTTATCGAAACTTGTTAGGGTAAGATTCCAGGGCTGTCAGACATTATTTTATGGAAGACTAAAGGTGGTTCCAGATGAGAAAAGTTGATTGAAAATAAGACTAGCCTAACTTAAGTTCTAATCAATGATTCTTATTACACTCGTATACCTTCCAAAATATTATTAGAAAACAATATTCAGCACTGTGAGCCAGTCGCTTTAAACAAGTTATCCTGGTATAAATTGAGCTCTCTTATATAATGCTTTTAAGTTCATCAATGAAGTTGTTTTTTTTTATTCAGTAGCACTAATACCCTCTCGGCATATAAAAAATATGTTGCGCCACAAAAATTAGGCAAGACTCGATTTCATAACTTTTGTATTAAACATTTTTTTCTCAAAACTCATACAAAAAAGTTCAGGTAATTCTATCTATAGAAGAATTACGTTTGTCTCACTTTCTTCCAGAAAATCGGTATTGCATGTACGCAGGAGTTGAAAACACATATAAACCCTATTCAGTAGCTCACGTTTTGTCTTCCACAAAATAAGTAATGCCTAGCAGCCCTGGTATCTTGGACTATGTTGAATGAAATAGTTTCTACCCTGGGAATATTACCGCTACCTTTGGAATCACCCTGTATGGTGCGCGAAGCATCTGTGGTACCGTTTCAGTTTTTAATTGATTACCAATTAGGTATTGAATCGCAATGTACTATAAACATTTTTTGGATTTGTAGGAATGATAGGAATCTCAATGCTACTGGTATGATTCTTATGAAAATTCAATAGCCGGTTCAAAATTCCATATTTTAACTCATTACAAATACAATTATGACTGAATTGAAAAATACCGTGCAGGTGACTTACGCTGTGTTAGGATACGGAAAACTTGGACTTGGTCTCATAAATTACAATTAGTCTTTCTGAGTGGCGAACAGCTTCCTTATCAACATGGTAGCGTTGACTATCGGCAGCCTCCCGGTAATAGCTTTGATTCCAGTTCAACCTTTCAGTACAATTTTGACTGATGTGTAAAAACAAAATATAGGTAATCATTAACTTGATTGAGATGAACTTAAGGAGACAATGTAATCGAAAACATTACAGTAGAGTAACAAACACCAGGATGAGACTACATTGTGTGGTTTGTTTTGAAAAATACTATATTTCAACGCAATTGCGGAAAATTTTAAAAATGATTTGTAATTTTTCTTTGATGTTATGTGACATCCACCGGCCAGTCTGTCTGTCTGCCTGCCTGTTCGCTAATTATTGGCTCGTCTATATCTTGTAAGGTACCGCTCAGATTTTGATGAAATGTTGAAACACGGTTACTACTATCACAAGAACGCGAGAGCTGTATAGTTTTTTAAAATCGGCTCAATCCTCGTTTTTATTGGCTTTGCAGATGCTCGTGAACGTTTTCAGAAATTTATTTGCAGAAGTTAGAAATGGGAGGTTGTTGGGAGTAGATCTAATTTTTTTGGCGTCAGTATATTTATAAGCTTCCAACCTCGGTGACTCTACACACTTATTAGTCATAATTCATACATTGTAGATTTTCCGCATACCGTACATTTTCCCTTAAAACATGAATGATGAAATATTTTCAATACACGCGTCTCGCGCAACTGAACTAGCATATATATATATATATATATATATATATATATATATACACCTGCTCTAATGCTGACCGATATCTGATCGATGAGTTACTGCGACGCCGGATACCGTGCGGGGTTGGCGAGTTCCGAGGTTAGTCACAGCAACGTTGCAAGATGGTCCGAACTGTCGGTAGGGCCGGGCCGGTAAGATACTTCTAGATCGCAACGTTGTCAAATGTTTTGGGACTATGGACTAACTGTATAGTCCTTTCCACTGACTTGATCTATTTAATTAATTCGTCATACATATTAACAGCTAACTCTTTTTTTTGAGTGGCTAACGTGTGCCGAACGTAATCTTTAATTGCGCATTACGTTTGAAGTGCAGGATCAACCTACTTGACCCAATTTTTGTAATAAAATCATACGTTTAAGAAGTACACAAATTAAATTACGGGCACAATCATTTTGCAATAACGATCGAGCTCCGTCACTGTACCATTGTCCACTTAATACGGCGTAACATTTATTAAATGGAAACCTCAAAACAGCCTGCGCAAATTATTTATGTCATAGCTTAGAATTTCATTAGGTTGGCTGGCTGTGCTGGTCGGTTTGTTTTCAGCTTCATGGCCAGGGAGAGAGTAACATTTTCCGTAAAATAACACAGATGAAGCGCTCCCTTCAGAATTCATTGATAACCTCAAGGCTCTGTACCACCATCATCTATTCCTATATAAATAAACACACATACACAAGTACATAGCTCCATCATACATTAAACAAGACATTTGATCAATGGATCAAGCAACTGGGCATTTAAAAATACATAGCAGTAAAAAATATAAGCAGTTTTGTGATAACAATTCCGCAGTTCTATAACACTCGTAATGTTATTCGGGAAGCAAGGAAGTTCGAACAAAAGGTGTTCTGCATTCACGCATTGTATTTCTGGTATACAAATGTGATTTTGATGAATAAGCCATATCAAAATCAAGCTTACCAAAATTAAGAATTTTTTGCTCATAGATTGGTCGCCACTAAACAATTTTTCAAAAATTGTTAAACGTCATCTGCCATAAACCGACAACATATCCCTATAGAAATTTTGTCAAAATTGAGAGATTGGAAGAAATGAGAGAACTTCTTTGCTCTGCTGAAATTCTAAACCTTTTGCAGCCACGAATCTTTGTTTATGCATGGGATTTAAAGATAGATAAGGTATGGTGAAATTGCGAAAATTTTTCCAAAATGCATATTATATTTCTTAGAGAAAAAGATTTTTTGAAATAATTCAAAAACCATCAACCTATTTTTGTGATTATATAGAAAAAACAATTCATTTTATTTCTTGTGATTCAAAGAAAAACATTGAAGGTGCTTGATGAAAGGAGTTAATGCAAAACATATTTTATTATGAGAATATATATGTACTTTTGAATAGTTGTTCTTAAAAGATTGGAGGATATCCCAAAAACCTCTACTCGGCATTTTTAAATGGATTACATTTTAAAAAAATATGATGGCATTACAAATATGTATGGGTACTAAGAAACATAATCTGAGACAAGGAACCCTAACGTCTTCGAATGACGGTCGCCAGGCTTTCGTATTTTAGGAAGTGAACAATCATATCCTATTCAAACCTCATGTACTTCGCTACAAACAGGTCATCGCCGTTTCTTCTCGCTTGTTGCTGCCTGCCCAGGCACTTTTAGCTCGCCTGAAAATGTGATCGAACGAATATGGACGTTGCATGCTGGTGTTTGTCTTATGAGGTGCAAACGAAATTTTTTATTGGCAAGTGCATAAAATCTATCGCTATTTACCAAACTATTATTCCTGCTGCAACTGACGTCGCGATATCAAGTTGTTGCTTTGGAACAACGACTTGGCTGAGCGAAAGACTGTCTAGACTTCGCGGTACGACCAACCGACCACTCGATCGACCGGGCATCAGTACCGTTGACCGGCCAATTTTCGGGCTTTCAGCTTCACTACGTCTTCCACAGCCAGTGAATTCGAAAGGAGCAGGTTTAACCTTACATACCAGGGATACACGAAGAATACTTACAATTGTTACTACAAGCATTTCTAGCAAACTCTTAGGCTTAGTTCAGATGACGCGCACCCGACGTTCGTTGACGTGGTGCTGGGTTGTTAGGCTGGTGTTTAGATGGCATGCACGCGTACGTATAGAGTGGGACTAGGTAACAACATTACCCCCTTTCCTTGGTAAGACGTTTCTTTCGCTGCCCTGGATGCGTCGGCTGCCTATTCAATAACCGAAATTATCCACCTTGGGATGGAAGAATACACTAAAAAGGCATAAACCAGGGTCCAATGGCTGGTTCAACAAATGCAAGATCAAGGCACGCAGAACCTTCGTACACCCCGCTGTACAGAACACACAAGCCTTGAGTCCAGAAGCAAATATAACAAAGCAGTTCACAATGCCAAAGACCAGCACGATGTGAAAATTTGGCACAGGATAATCTCGGCTTTTCTTGGCACGAGCCAAGCAGATTGAATGGAGTTTCTCAAATAGTAGCCTTCCACTGCTTACCTGCCGGGATTTAACTGCCTTAAAGTGCTTGCCGAGATCTTTGGTGCCAACTCCATGATGGACGTCTCTCCCAACGCTCAATTGTCGTTGATTTAAAGTGTTCCCTACACTATGCGGTACCTTCAAGTTTAAGACCGTAAGACGGATGCTCTTGTCGCTCGATATCAACTCCTGGTCCGAACTTGATTAATGTCATTGTACTAAAGAGATGAACTTGCTTCAGTTGTTTCGCGTCTCTTCCAAATCTCTCCCAGCACTTTTCCTGAACACTAGAAATTTGGTCATCCGGACTTATGGTGAGGCTCATATCGCTGATATTCATATTACGAAAGCATTCCATCAGCTGTAGTATGCTGTCCTTTATGCAAACTTCCAACCTATAGCATCCCAGAGAAGCTTTGCAGATGATAGGCCGACTACCCAGAATGTTGTATAAAAGAAGAAAAAAAATGTCACCTAGAAGACAGACAAACAAAATATATTGGCACAGAACAAAGTGTCAATTGTGCTTGAAAAATGGCATAGTGCTGGTCTAAACGTCGTACAGAAATATAAACATATTTGTGGTTTGATTCGGCCAAACAATGATCGTCTCAGGAGTTACATTAAAAAAACAAAAATGTTGCATCTCCCCTCCTCTCACCAGACGCGTGAGAGATAAAATCACATCTAGGATGAACAAATTTAATAATAGTCGATAGTAAAATAATTAAAATCACTTTTATATTTGTGGTGTAATTTCAAAAGGGAGTAAAACGTAACCTCGCGTGTATTAGGAACGTATACTTGGCAATAACACCCGTTTCGCTATAATTTCGGGACATATCTACAATCAGAGATTGAGCTGTCTATAATGGAAATCGATTTACCACAACCCAACTGTTGAGAATCGCATTAAAACTTCCGGAATGTGTTGGGTTGGAAATGTAGATCAAAAGCCTGCATTGGCCCAGATCTAGGTCTACTATTTGATGATACTCCGGTCATACTGGCGTTGTAAAACACCCAGAGTTACGTTCATTTCTTATCCAGAACCGCTTTGGACTAAAATGTCGCATATGAACGTCACAAGAATTAACCCAATTATAAGCAGACTGGTCGAATCATTTTTCCGAATAATACGCCTAGTTGACCAACATCTCGTATTCAATATCACTGTATAAAAAATAAATCTATACATTACCTTTCACTCAATTGTCTTTATATAGTCGATATCGTGTTTTATAAACCACATGCAGACTCGGTTGAAGAACAAACAGTTCAATTTATTACATGCAAAATAGATTATGTAAAACAAATAATTGTGAAACAAAACGGTAGCAAATTATCTACGAGTTACATCAATAAGTTTGTGAAAGTTGCGGAAATTGGAAAATTCACAATTAAAAAATGTAGATAACATACTAACTTGAATAATATACAAATATGCATATCCAATACCTAATGAAGTCGTGATACCTGACTGATTATAACGTAATCATTATTACTTCTTTAATCATTAGGTGTTCTAAAATCCATGCACCCTCATGCAAGGAAGTCATAGAATGATAGAATGTTTTCATTGTACCCATAGCGTACTAGGTCCGAGCT